CTCTTCTTCAGTTGGCCAGCTGACAGCAGGTTCGCCTGTACGCCCGGAACGTAGAGCACGTCGGGGATGAGGACCTGCTTCCCGGCCTCCCCTTGTAGAGCGACGGTTCCGCGACCCTCGACAGGCTGCAGCGCCCCGTTGAATCCACGCACGTGCTTCACTCCGTCGCTCGGCGCCATGTCGACGAAGACCGCCTTCGTCCCCATCAGGTGGTGGGAGCACCCGCTGTCGAGCAGCACCGCCATCGGGTTGGCCTGCACAGCTGCCGCCACCGCCTGGAAGTCCTCGCCAGCCTCTGGTGCCAGCGAGACTGTCGGCTCCACCACGCCGACCATCGAGCACGACGCCTCCCCGTCGCCTCGGCCCTTGCCGCTGGAGCTGTCGACGTCCTTCGTCGACGACGTCTTCTTCGATGTCTGCTTCTCCTTGCGCGGCTTCTCATCTCGACGGGGGCGACGACTGGTCGGCCGACCACGACCTCCCTTGGTGTCGTCCTCGTCGCTGTCGTCACGGTCAGGGCATTCGAAGGAAAGGTGGTCCGGGGCGTGGCAAATCCAGCACTCCCGCCGTCGACCACCACCTCCACGGCCCTTGTCCCACGCCGACCTCTTCTCGTCGACGTCCTTTGTCGACCGCCCACCTCCGCTACCACCTCTGCCCGGCTTCCCGCGCTGCCCTTGCTGCTGATGCAGCTTCGTCGGTGCAGCGTAGTTTGCCTGCGGAAGGAGCTCTGTGGGCTGTTCGGCCTCCTGCATCGCCTCATCTTGAAGAATGTAGCTGGTGATGGAGTCCTCGTCGAGGGACTCACGCGTGCCGGGCACCATCATCATCCTCTTCATGAGGTTGTAGTCGCGCGGCAGGCCCTTAACGATGTGGGTGATGTAGGACGCCGTCGAGTATTCGGCGCCCGCCATCCGCATCTCAGCCAGGATCCGTCGAGCACGGTTGCAGTAGTCCGTCGCCGACTCCTGCTCGCCCATGCGAATGATCAGGTCCCGTCGACCTTGCAGCGGTGTGACGGTGATCCGGTCCGGCGAGAACTTGAAGTAGCGATACGCCGGTGCAATCCCGCCCGCTGTCACATGCGTCGTCGCCGAGAGCCCTCCACCGCTTCGTAGAGGAGAGCGACGTTGAACATCGACGCCGGCACGCGAGCTGCCTGCAGCCGCCGTCGACCGCTGCACTCGCGCCTGGATTCCGTCGACACCACCGTCGACCTTGATCACCCCTCTCTGCTTCGTGCCATCGCTGCCGCTGACTCGTGCACCACCATCGACCTCATCGTCGACGCCACCCTCGTTGCGCACCGGTCGAGGAGATGCAGGATGGGAAGGGTGTTCCGTCGCCCACTGCGACCGGATGCCCAACTCGGCGATCACCAAGGGGATCGTCCTGTACTCGCCATCCGCGTGGCGTCTCCTCGCGTCAGCCAAACGTGCCTCCAAGGTGTCCGCTACGCCCGCATCAACTACGGGGTCGACCATGGCGACTAACGCTGCTGCCGGCCTACGAACGACTTAGTAGGTGCAAAAGTCGGCTCCTATCTGAAGGTTGCGTGTTCGATCCACGCTCACCGCATCATGCGGAGAATCACTCTACAACGGTAGTGAGTTAGACTACGGGGGTTGGCACGAACTACTAGGAGTGATCGTAGCTTTGCTTAGTTCCTTAGTGCTTGCACAATCACGGGAGAAATCGGCAAGAGTTTTCACTAGCAAAGTCGAAATTACAGAATGAATCAACAAGCAATGACAACAATGACTACATCAGGCACCTAGCAACTCTGCAGCAAGCCTGGTCGACCGCCAGCACAGCTTGGTCGACCGCCTGCCAGCGTTGCGTAGAGGAGCCGCGCCAGCACTGCAGAAGGGCGACCTGCCAACACTGCAGGTCGACGGCGTGCCAACGCTGCAGCAAAGCGGCTGTCCAGCGTTGCCCCGTAGAAGACAGCAGTGCGCACGCTCGCAGGTGCGCGCAGACGATTGGCCCGACTTGCACCGTTGTGCGTCCGTCGGCTGTTGTCTGCGCCTGACGAGCCACATCGACTTCGGGATACCAGCCCGAAGTCGCCTTCGCCATCGCGACCTCGACGACGTTCGCGTGCCTCCGCAGAACTCGTCGAACATGTTACCCGGTCGACCTGGTCGACCATCAAGTGCTCCGGTCGACCACCAGTGCCTCTGGTCGACCACTGGGTCCCTCTGGTCGACCACTGGGTCCCTCTGGTCGACCACAGCTCCCGTCGAGCTACCCCCTGGTCGATGGACCCCTTCCGTCGACCAGAACTGGCAGATGATGTTGCCGAGCTCCCCTCGTCGACCGCTGCTAAGTTGTTAGGTTGACGGACTGCTCCGTCGACCTCCCGGTCGAACTGCAGGTCGACGGACTGCTCCGTCGACCTCCCGGTCGAGCTGCAGGTCGACGAACTGCTCCGTCGACCTCCCGGTCGAACTGCCCCTCCTGGTCGATGGCCCACCCGTCGCCCAGACCAGTCAGTTGCAGCTGTCGAGCTCCCTGGTCGACATCAACACCACAGCGGTCCCCTGCAGCTCGACCAAGCCTGCCGAGCAGCTCTCCCACTGTGAACGGTCGGCTGCTACTCCCGTACATCCGACCAAGTCGTCGGCGTTGCCCAAGCGAGGGCAGGGCCAACATTCCATTCCCGTTAACAGCAACAGCAGCCGTTCGCGAAGGCCTCTACCTTCATGAGCTGCTGCAGGAGGCGAAAATTCCAGCCTCGGCGAACTTTCGCCTGCACTCCGACAATCAGAGCGCGATCAGGATCGCGAACAAGCCAGGATTCGTCAACCGCACCAAACACATCGCGCTGCGGTACTTCTTCGTCAAGGACGAAGTTGACAAGGGCAAGGTTGACTTAACCTACTGCCCGACGGGTGACATGGCAGCTGACTTCCTCACAAAGATGCTGTCACGTCAGCAGTACCAACACTGTTCCGAACTCAGCGGAGTAGTCAAGCGGGTCAAGACTCGCTACAGCCAGGAGTGAAGGGGGGTGTTACGAATAGTGATTATTGAAGTATCACTGTGCACTCCTCACCGCAGCAATCGAAGCACGCATTATCGAGAATGAAGACGAAAGGGCGGAAGTGACGCGAAGGGTCGCACGGTTACGAAAGCATCTGGACCGTCGGGCAGACAGCATCAGGCAGCAGCAGTGGCGAGGATTCTGCCTGGACAGTTTCGTAACTGTCTGGAGTCGTACGGTTTTTTTTGCTGTAATAAGGGAATGTACCCCTTAGAGTACATGGCTAGCTAGGTCGATTGGTATTCCCTTGTACTCTTATTTATAGTGCTGTATTTGCATGTTTTTATCATCTCAAGCATTTTACATTTACTCTGCTATTGAGGTCAAGGGCCCACCACCACTACTCAGTCGTGTGCGAACCTTCCTGAGGTGATCCTAGGCACGATCAACTTTTGATCGCAACAGAAGGCATGAGCGAATACTTATGTGCGAAACATGCAACGGTTACGCGGTGCGTGCGAGCTAGCTAGTGCTAGGCTGGCATCGAGGTTCGGGCTAGTCCCGAAGCGTAGGCCGACTCGGCCAGGCCAGCGGTGCATGGTTTGGTAAAACAGTGCGCGCGAAATTGGCGAAGCCCCGTTAGCAGTAACGGGCGAACAACGGCTGCTGCTGCACGCGATGTTAATGGTCGCGGTAAGGAATGTCGAGAAAATTCCTTACAAATACAGAGGAAAACTGTGTCTAAATCTTATAAATGGGAACCTTCTAAAATGGTTAGTTTGATTATCAGTGAATTTTTACAGTGGCTGATTACCGATATAATAATCCCTTGTTGTGAGATTCTGTTTTCGGGTAAGTATATACTGGGTGGGTATTACTGGAAAATTGTTTTTTCTACTTGTAATTATTTTCATTGAGTGGTACTTTTGACGAATTCTCACACGCGACATCCAGATTAGTGTCACGTTTCATGGATACAGGCAAAAAGTTTCGCCACGTGTCCGACGCGATTTCCCTGAAACATTTTGACGCAACAGAAAAAAAATAAACCCCGAGGGACACGGACACATTTCGGGAAACATCGACCCTAAACACGGGAATGGCCAGGTGTTTAGGGTTGACAACATAAAATCGTTACAATTTGGAAGGAATCAACCCTAAACACGGGAACAGGCATGGTGTTTAGGGTTGATGCATCGAAAGAAGTCCCTGGTGCCCTAGAGATTTTAGTTTTGTTACACCCTGAAAACCCAACATTTTGTTCAGTCGCACGTAAATTTTGCAGACACATGAAAGCTACACAAGCATGGACACGTGGAGAAAATAATCGCCCGTAGACATGAAACATGACAATAATCTGTGTCTCTAAAATGAGAATCAGTAGAAATTCACACCAAATGGGTAAACTTGGGACTGGAAACAACATGTTTTCTGTATACGTTTGTTCGTTGCCTTGGGTTGGGATTGACGCCACGTGGCTGTCCTCTTCGCCATTCATTTCTCCTATGTTCCATCTATCACCGAATTCTCTCCAATCAAGTTTCTCCCCTCCCCAACAATCGCTTCGTTCATTCACCTCTGCACCGCTCTCACTGATCAAGAACACAAATTCCACCTCCAAATCGTTTCCGCGCGGTTAAAAGGTTTTGACGAAGCATTAAAACGGTACAGTGGCTGTGCCTCCGATGTTGCCTAGCATCCAGTCCGCAACGGGGAGGATTGCGATTTTAGCACACTACCGTATCTCTGCGGGTGGACATGACAAGCGTCAATCCCGCGCCAACGACTAGCCGTTCACGGCATCACGTTCACCGTACATGCCCGCGATGTGCGTTGTCCGTGTACAAAAGTACAGCACAGTACAGCATCTCCATGCCCGCGTTGTCCGCTCCGCTTCCCGCCGCCTGCCTTCCTGGCACTTTCACCTTTGTCACGAGACACACACGGAGCTTGCTCGTCCGTTTCGTCTGTGACGTCCTACCGTACACTTGCGCGTGAAACCAGCCAGCATCGAATGCTTTCGCGTCGTGAGTGTTTAGGTTAAGTTGTACATTACGATGTCTGCGTGGAGTTCCTGATCTCTGTACAGATAGCTCCCTGGGAGTCCTATATTCTCACTAATATCAACTTTTAGTAAGTTACCCCTTTGAAACGTTGTCACAGCAACTCGTGTTGCCACGAACACGTTTTAATTTCAAAATCCAAACCTCAGCTTTAAGCTGTAGCCACTTTCTCTGAGCCTCGACCGAGCCTTAGCCGAGGCTATATCACACCGACAGGCCGCCTTGTTACAGAGGCGCCATGTCTGCACCTTTTCCTCCTCATTACATCGCCACGCCCCTCACCAGCACTACGCCGATCATCGCCACTGGCGCGCCTGTCGCTACGGTCGCCACTGGCACGCCTGTCGCCAATCCCATCGCCAATCCCGTCGCCAATGTCCCCATCCCGTCGCACACGCCAACCGTCGGGCCGACAGAACCATACGTGGTGGTGGGGCTTCAGTACTGCCTCCCGTATGAGACGGTGCTTATACTGAAGGAGAAAATGTGGTCGCTGCACGGCAAAGCGGACATATACGACACGCAAGGCCAGCTCTTTTTCAAGTCCAAGGACAAGTACCTATCTGAAGTTCGTTGTTGATTCTGTCGGTTGTTGAAGGGGAAAGAAATGGGGAGGGAGGGGGAAAAGGGGGAAGGGGGATTGGAGGGGGAGGGGGATTGGAGGGGGAAGGGGGGAGGGCATCTGACGTGAAAGCCTAGGATCAAAGCTCGTCAGTTGTTGGTATACGCATTTTCTTGACTCCTTCAAAGGTGTCTGCCACGTACTGAATAGATTTACATAATATCATTATACAATGCCATTTTTTTACTCTTTTTTTTTGCCCTTCTCACTTACAGAACGTTCTCGTGGCGGGACCGCAAGACCATATTCAACGCCCAGGACGAGCCAGTATGCTCGCTGACGAGCAAGGCCTTCTCCCTGCACGATGTGACCTACCTGTGCCCGGGCGCCAGTGTGGATAAACGGGACGCTCTGCTCACTGCCCGGAGCAAGTTCTTCTCCTGGAAACCCATCCTCAATGTGAGTGCGGGAGGGAGTGAGTGAGTGAGTGAGGGAGGGAGTGAGTGAGTGAGTGAGAGAGGGAGGGACGGAGAGAGTGAACGAATGAGTGATTGAGGGAGGGAAGGAGAAATGAGCAAGTAGAGTGTGAGTGAAAGGGACGCGTTGCTGACTGCCAGGAGCGAGTTCTTCTCCCGGACTCCCATTCTCAATGTGAGTGCGCGAGTGAGGGAGGGAGTGAATGAGCGAGTGAGATCGAGTGAGAAAGTGAGTGTAAGTTTGAGTGAGTAAGTGAGCAATTGAGGGAGGGAGTGGGTACTGAACAACAGGTGCCATTCAGTCCAGAACGATCCTGACTGCCAAAACATGTTCTTCTGAAAGCCCCGTCTTAAAGCGAGCGAGCAAGAGAATGAGGGAACGAGTGAGGGAGTGAGTGAGTGAGTGGAGAGAGTGAGTGAGGGACTGAAAGCCAGAAATTGTCACTGGTTGCTAAGTTGCAGGTTCTGATGTAGACACGTATCCTTTCCGTGCCGCGCTGTTCCACTTCTCTGCAGATCTTTCTAAAGGGGAATTCATTTGACAACAAGCCAGACATCATTCTCAAAGGCGACTTTTTCCAACACGAGTTCACTGTACGTGTTGAGACGGCCAGTTTTTCATGTGTTCACGAGTTGTTTCTCAAAACATAGTACATGCGAGCTGAGGTCTTTGTTGCTCTTCTCCCGCCTCTGGGCATTCTTTCTTCGATTCTCTAGTGGTTGCTGATCTACGTGAGCTGTGCACAACAAACGCAGTAATTCGCCCAATCTTGGAAGGTCTAGGTCTACAGGCTGGTTGGAAGCAACAGGAGTTGCTCAATCTGGTCTGTAAAGGGGTTTTTACCCCTATTGCACTGGGCACAGCACACCCAGCTCAATATCTCCGACCCTGTCCCTGTGCTTGCTCTGTTGCTCACATCACCACCGGCAGCAGGCTTGAGTAGGCGTCAGTGGAGAGGAAGGAGATGTGAGGACAAGCGGGGAAATCTACGGTATGGTCACACACACTCACTCACTGTGCTGGGCGCACCCAGCCCAATATCTCCATACGGACCTCTCCTCTCCATCGTTCCGTGCTTGCTCTGTGCTCAGATCATGAGAAGCAGCAGGCTTACCGTATGTTGGCGCAGGTGGAGAGGGACATCTGATAGGCCAGCCAGGGAGTTGGCACCTCGAGCCCAGTACGTTTGATGCCTTTTTTCCCCTCTCCTTGTGCTTGCTCTCCGTTCTCAGATCACCACAAGCAGCGGGCTTATGTTGGCGCAGGTGGAGAGGGACATCTGGTCTGCCAGGAAGTTGGTGCATGAAGCTCAATGTGCATGATGCCGCTCCTTCCCTGTCCCTCTCCCTTTCTCAGATATGTTGGCGCAGGTGGAGAGCGACATCAGGGAGTTTGACGCATGCAGCTCAATATGCCAGATGCCTCTCTTTCCTCCCCCCTATGCTTGCTCTATTTCTCACATTGCTCAGATCACCACAAGCAGCGGGCTTCTGTTGGCACAGGTGGAGAGGGACATTTGGTCTGTCAGGGATTTTCTGAGCACGCACACATATGCAGTGCGCATCAAGCCAAATGTCGACATGGCTCTGGTTTTATCGCTCGTTGCTATGGCGGACACTATCTTTGTTAATAAGGAGGATGACAATGATGACTAACTTCTGTCTGCTTCTGGTTATGCGGCACTGTGTTACTATGATACCCCAACTGGTGTTTAAGGCGGTAAATGTGAGTGTATATGGATATCATGTATTTATTCGTTTACCTGATGTGCTGTACAGTGCACCTCAACTCAAGCCAAGTGTTGCCACGGAATGAAAGGCTGCCTGATTGCAGTGTGACTTGGTCGGTTGGAATTTACTGGAAGTGCATCTAGATGAATTGGTATGCGAAACCAGGAGAAAATCATTGTAATATTTGAAGGTTGCCTTGCAGGGACGTCACTATGACTAAACCCTAGATGGGATTTGTATGATGGAGTATGAGCATGCCATTTTGAGGATGATACCAGGGCTAATTTTTGGATTTTGACTACCCTTATGATCAGTGTGGTACAAGGTCAAAAACCTGATTATCAGTGTGACCCCTTCTGAAAACCCTGTTACATCAGGGTTTATGTCGGTTTTAAAAAATTTACCCTGTCGCCAGGGCCCAAAATCAGTGTTCTTAAAAGACAAACCCTGGAGAAACTGTAAGTCTGGCCTATGGTGGCCCACTTTGAACCAGCACATGCGTTGTCAAGGCCGAAATTACGGTTTCGTCAGTTGGCAATCGGGATTCGGGAATCCCGGGTTACTGGAAAATGGGGGATGGGGGAACTGGGGGGGAGGGGGGGGGGGGGGGTATGGAACTCGCTTCAGGGTAAAACTCGTTATGGAATACGGGAACCCTTAGTCATCAGTGTGCCTAAAATGTAAACCCTGACACATCAGGGTAATCTTGACTCTTAAAAAAATTACCCTGGACCATCAGTGTTACTCCCAAAAACCACCCTGATTATCAGGGTATCAGGGTGATTTACACTGATAAAATTAGCCCTGGATGATACCAAGAAAGTGGCCACAAGGCCAGTTCACATGCAGAGGTATATAATAGCAAGGCAGTACACTGATCACAACCTAGCAAGAGAAAACATGCAGGTATAAAGATATATAGCAGTGTAGAGCAAGAACAAGTCAAGCAACCAGCAGGTGAGGCAGAGTGGGCATAAGCCCAAGAGCAGTGCAGAAACGCTGATGATCACCAGCCCCAAGGGCCTTGGTGAAGACATCAGCAGTGTTGGCCCGAGAGGCCACGAAAGCAAGGCGCAGCTGACCACGCTGCTGCAGCTCACGCGCAAGGAAGTAGCGAAGAGCAATGTGCTTCGTTCGGTGCTCCAGTCTCTGCTCGCGAAACAAGGCAAGCATTGCCTTGTTGTCGACGTACAGAATTGGAGGAGAACGAGGCCGCTCCCCCAAGTCGGTCAGCAGGTAGGTCAGCCAGCGGAGCTCCTGTGCAGCCATGGCCCCAGCGTAGATCTCGGCCTCACAGCTGGAGCCAAGCACAGAAGAAGAACGAGTGGACCTCCACGAGACAGAACCAGCACCAAGACTGAAGGTGTAGCCCTGTGACGAACGCTGAGTCGCCTGGTCGTCGGCCCAAGAAGCGTCAGAGTGTCCTGTGAGGAAAACCGAACCCCGTCCTCCAAGCACGAGCCCCATGCCCGATGTGCTGCACAAGTAACGCAGTACCCTCTTCGCAGCATCAAAGTGCACCTTTCGGTGCCTACCGGGTGCCACGTAGCGAGCCAGAAGGCTGAGAGGGTACGCGAGGTCAGGTCGTGTGCACGTCATCAGGTACATGAGGCAGCCCACAAGCTCTGGGTACGGACCACTCGGCTCTACGGACTCGTCCGAAGGTGGAGCTGAGAGCGAGTGGCCGGTAGCTAGAGGAGTGGACTGTGGCGAGGAGTACGTGAAGCGGAAGCGCTGAACTGGTGCACCATGTGTGACTGAGTGAGGGTGATGGTGCGCCGTGGTCTGTCCCGGGTGATCTGCAAGCCAAGATAGCTCCGCAGCTCACCCAGGTCAGTGCAGGTGTGTCTCTCCTGCAGCTCCGCCTTCACTAGGGCCAGTGCCTCAGTGTCAGCAGTAGCAAAAACCAAGTCGTCGACGTACACGAGGATGTAGAACGGCGGCAGAGTAGTGTCGGTGCGTAGAAACAGCGACGGGTCAGCAGTCGAAGGAGCAAACCCAAGAGCCGCAAGTGTCGTCCTCAGTGTGTCGTGCCACTCACGGGGCGCCTGACGCAGGCCGTACACTGGTCGCCGTAAGCTCCACTGGGTACCTTCAGGAAACGACCCATTGAAGCCCTGTGGACGGCGCAACCAGATGGCCTCGTGATGGCTACCCTGCAAGAAAGTTGTCGAGAAGTCGAGGGAGTGCAGCTCGTAGTCACGCTGAGCTGCAACGTGTAGCAACACCCGAAGAGTGGTCATCTTCGGGGTGGGGGAGAAGGTCTGAAAGAAGTCGACCCCCTCACGCTGACTGAAGCCTCGAGCAACGTAACGTGCCTTGAAGGCAGGCGGAGAACCCGGCGGCCGCTTCACCCTAAAAATCCACATGCCACTGACGATGTTCGCCCCAGGTGGGGGAACCTCGTCGACGTAGGTGCCTGTAGACTTCCAGGAAGCCATCTCTGCGTCCATGGCTGTCTGCCACTGAGAGGAGTACTCACCCGAAATCGCCTCCCTGTAGGAGCACGAAGTGGGGATGTCAAGTGCATCCGGGTCTCCCTCAGGGGCAAGCAGCATGGTCGCGTGATGGGGTGAAGCGGCAGCAAGGCACTCCAGCTCCTCCTGTCTGTCCTCAAGAACGTCACAGCCAAGGGCAGTACAGCCAAGAGCAGTCTCACCCCCGACGGACGGAGGACATGCAGGGACAGGGTCAGAGACAAGATTCGCAAGGTAGTCTAGGCGGTACACAGCAGCAAAGTCAACGAGCTCAGCTACGAGGGCAGACGCAGCAGGAGACGAGAACGTAGGGTCCGTCACAACCGTAGAAAGAAGGCGAGTAACAGTCGGACTGGACGCACGAGCAAGGTCAGACGGAGGGTCAGCAATGTCAGGCAGAGAGGACGCAGGAGGTAACGGTAGGGCAACACGCTGAGGAACAGAGGAAGGACGGAGTGTCATATCGTGAGTGCCGGGGACAGCCGGAGCACGCGGACGACGAACACGAGGAACACGAGCACGGACAGCAGCTCTAGGCTCAGGCTCAAGGTCAAAGCTAGACACAGGCTCTCGACGCTCAGGGGTGGACGCACGAGTCTCATGCTCTCGACGCTCAGTCAGGGACTCTGACACCGCAGTGTAAGGAGCAGGAGCAGGCAGTGGGGAGTGTGGTAGCAGCGGTGGCTGTGACTGGTCCGCCGGTGGACACAGCAACGGAGGAGTAGTACTTGCCACAGGGAAGCCAGTAGCACCTGGCGGAAGACTGAGAAGGTGGCGAAGAGCACCAGTAGCTCCCGTACCTCCAGCACGAGCAGGTCCTCCAATGTAAAAATCATAAGTAAACTGAACGATTAGTGTAAAAAAGAAATACAAAGTTGAATCACCCGTTCAAAGTTTGTCTCTGTGAGAGTTCCTTCCAGCGATGCAAAACACGTCGGCACGCGATCTGTACAGCGCATGGCATCTCCAAGCGCGTGGGTGAGGTCTCGTGAATCCCGGGCCAGGTACAGCCTAGTGGGGTCTCGTGAATCCCGGGCCAGGTACAGACTATACACACGCGTACCCCCCACCTACCCCCCCCCCCCCCCCCCCCCCCCCCCCCCCCGAATCGGTCTTGTCCGTTTCAGTGTGACTCACGACACTACACTGATTCGTCAGTGTTACTTGTACAGCAACACGGAAAATGGTCAGTGTGGCAAGGTAGGTTATACTGAAATCTCAGTGCAAATTTGAAGCATATGCTGAATTTTCAGGGAAAACGAAAATCACAGCTACAAAATCAGCCTAATCAGCGTGTTTTACGCTGATATCTGAGGGCCTGACGGTCACTGTATCGAGTCCAGGTTCATCAATATTGATCAATCCGAGTTTTTTATCAGTTGTGCA